CAGTACCACTGCTCTACCCATATGAGCAGCAAAAAGACGTTTTTAGACCAAATATTACAGATTTAATCAAATACACACAAAAACATCAAAATTAGCGCAGAAACAGTACTATATAACATTTTAGACACATTCTAGACAGTTTATCAGCTAAAAAAAGTTAATTTTGGGGTAAGTTACTCTTTCAATGACCCTGACTGAAATGTAAAGCAGAATAACTTACCACTGAACTCCTTCTTGAGGAATATCTTGAAATCATCCCGGCCTCGCAGGTCTGTCAGGAGCTCAAACAAGCTGAAGGACCAGCGCTCCACTCGCATCTTAGTGGGAACTTCAACTCTGAAAGCAGATACAGCAACATGGTAGTCCTGATCGAGTCTAATTTTTTTATTTTTATTTAATTTTTTTGGTGAATGCAATGCTCCTCTTCCACAAATTCAGATTCAGAAACAAGGCTGTTCCTGCAGGGTACACAGTCCTCACCTCTCACAACATGGCTGCTCACTCCAACCATGACAAGTCACGTGATAACACCTCTAGTGAATATAACTCATTTCCTTCTTTGGTGACTCAAGGCCCGTTTTGSTTCCAATCATCACAAAGGAAATGACCCCCCAATGTCTGTGCTTGTTTCACCTGTAGACAGTTTGTTCAGAATATATTTTTCCCTCAGGTCACTTGGGACCCATCAGCTGATGAACCGTATACATGGATTTTAAAAACTTCAACCTCATTTAATTAGGAGGTCAAATTGAAAGAAATTTACAGTCACCTGTACATAATTTAGTGTTGTTTTTGAATTAAATTGGAAAAAGATCTGCAGGAGCTCTGCAATGTGTCTTACTCTAGTGATCTTATCCAGCAGGGTTGTCAGATCTGACTGACAGTTTCCAAYCCAAACACAACATAAAACTTGCCAAACTAAAAAGAAAAAACAGGCCAAATCTCATCCTCCACCTCCATTGAAACTCGTGTTAAAGACACGCATAATAAAGACTGTCATRAGGACACATCTGCACTGAATCAGGTACTTAGAGAGACACTTCTTTAGAATGAAAACTTGTAAATAAAGAAACAGATTGAGAGTGTCTGTAGGTATCTGGGATAGCTGCAAGCATATGCATAACAAAAGTCAAATAGCCCTCGGATTGTTTGGCAGAAGGAGGGTCTATGTCCTCATGGTCTCAGAATGCCAATCTCTTCCTTATTTGGTGCATTTACAGTTTACATTAACCAAAACCATTTTACAGTGATATTTTGATATAACTGTCTTGTGAATACTTTCCAAAAAAATTACCAAATGTGATGAAAAACAGCCCCAATTTTAACAATCCAGCTCAACGTGTTCCAAAGAAGCCCAATTTGGCAGAAACCTGTCCAGTCTGGCAACACTGCTCCCCAGCAGTGCGGGCAGCACTAATTTAAAAATTAGTTGTACTAACCATAAAGCACTACCTCAAATATTTAGGTCCACTAATCCTAAAGCACTAATGCACTGAAACATTTAGCAAAAGCTATTTCTAAAATACTAATATAGCTGACCTAATCAGGAAATTAGTTCCCCTATTAGTGCTTTAGTACTTTAGAGGAATTGTACCGACCACTGCTCCCCAGTTTGGGGTTTTTAAAAACTACATCTGTCGTACAAGTGTTTCTGAATAAATATAATATTATTTAATAAAAATACATTTGAAAACAACCAAACACCAATTAAAAGTAAATTGTGGTCTTACCTCCTTACGTTAAGAGTCCAGTATGCATCATGGTCTGTTTGCCAGGGATTACTGGGCTGACATGAAGCCAAGAAAGGGTCGTGGTTTTTGTAGGTTGTAATGTATTTGACCAACCTGCAGAGACAAACGCATTATAAAATCTTTCTATGYCAACAACAATGTCTTGTTGATTCTCACAACTACTCTGTCAGTTCTGGCCTACCAGTATTTATGAATTAATGACTGCTAAATTGTTGTAAGCACATTCTGGTGAAGGGCGATAACAGCCTCTGTTGCTTGCTGCCATTAGTTAGAC